TGTCCCTGGCGCTCTTTGTCCTGGCACTTGAGCCGCTGGCTTTAGCGTTCCGGGTTGATTATAGCATATCGGGTGTTTCATACGTAGGACAGGAATTCAAGTTCAACCTTTTTGCCCTCTTGACTCTCACTAATCCCCTGACGATGCTCCCAAATTTGCAACAGGTTCTTGTGCATTTCTCCTTGATTTCGGGTCTCCGTATTAATTTGGATAAGACTCTCAATATTACTTTGACTTCAGATTTGGTTTCACGCCTACAATCCCACTTTCCTTACAAATGGGCCTCCTCTATACTTGAATACCTAGGCATTCGCTTGATCCCCACGTATGGCTTGTTGTTTGCTACAAATTATTATCCTTTGCTTTGCTACAAATTATTATCCTTTGCCACGTTGGAGGTGGCTTACAAAGTATTGTTTCGTTGGTATTGGGTCCCAGCTCGGTTGGCCCAGGCGAACCCTGCGTGCAGTGATTGATGCTTTCGGGGGTTGTGGTCATTGTGGAGATGTGTTAGATATATGCCCGAAATTGATTAATTTTTGGTCTCGTGTTTGTGGCCTCCTTTTCACCTTGTTCCATCTCTCCATATGCCCGGATGTATTCGGTACGCCTTGCTTCATTGTCCCATATCGGGCCTGTTGGCTCACCAGCAGAATTTGGCTTCCTATTTGTTTTTGTCTGCTACTAGAACAATTGCTCAGGCATAGAAGAGCCCGTCTGTCCATCTTCATGGGGTGAGGGACCGTATGATGCTCCATGAACAGATGTCGATTATCTGTAACGACTCCCAACGGAAATTTTTGAAAGTATAGGAGCCGTGGTTGACATGCTTTTCCCACACTCCCCCTGGCTAGTCTGGGGTTGTGATGTTGTTCGGTATTGGCGTTCCCAGACCCCTGCTTCTGGTCTTGTGTTCTTCCTTTTCTATTCCTCTTTCCCTTCTATTTTTGTTTGTTTATTGTAAGGCAGAGGATAGCTGCCTTTGAGCTACTGTCTGTGTTATATCACTGTTTTTGTAATCTATGTGCCATTGATAGCCCCTGCGTGGGCACACCTTTCGCTCTGTTGGTGTTAGAGCGCTGTTTTCTTTATTTTTTTATGTGCAATTGATAGCCCCTGCGTGGGCGTGTCTTGTTGCTCATGTTTTCTTGAAATGTTTATAAGGTAATAAAAATCTTTTGAAATACAAAAAAATGCCTTTAGTAACATTTTAAAGTGGAACTTTGACCTCTTCTTTACAGCCTAGGATTGCATCTTAGCTTTTGTTTGATCTGTTTTTCCCATGGTGCTGCACATGTGATCAGTTATGAAACCAGACATTTGATCGCTTGTCAATTCGGTTGAAAGCTCCCATAAGCACACTAGTAACTGTTATCATTCATGTCGTGCCTTAAATGATAACTGTTTTAGGAGACAGTTTAATTGGTTTAGTTCTGCTTTAAAGTGAAACTAAATCCATACATTCAACGGTTTCCCAAAACCGTTACATTCCCAGCATGCTGGGAATGCTGTCACATTTGCTTGTGCTCTCAACCAAACCATCAAATGCCTGGTGTCATAACTGATCACATGTTCAGGACCATGGTAGTTGAAGATAGATCAAACAGAGGCTAAGATGGCAGCTTCCTTGGCTGAAAAGGAAAGGAGGGTTCAGTTCTGCTTTAGTGAAATGCATATTTTGAATGGGGTCTCAGACAGTTTTGTATAATATGGGTTTAAGCACCACTTAGGGCTCATTAACAATGGCATGCAGGCATACAGCTGGGTGGGTACAACCAGCTGTTTGTCTGCATTTGGACCAGGGGCAGACTGACAACTCATGGGACCCCCGGGCAGTAAGGGATCATGGGGCCCCTGTGTCCTCACACTCAAACCACACACTTGGGCAGTGCCCGAGTTCTCAAAGGGTCAGTCCACCCCTGATTTGGACTATGAATCTGTTCCTAACTGCTTGTAATCACTCCATATGTGATTACATAGGAACAAGCTGCTATCAGTTTGCCATTGACTTGCATTGGTTGCACAGACATAGCCAGATCTAAACACCTAGCCTTACCAGACACAGAAATACTCTTAGTAGAGTGGTGTATGGCCCCGGACATCTGTAATCCCTTATGTATTCTTTGGCAGCCATGAGGTGTGTTCCCCTGGACACACTCACCAATGCTCGGGACCAGGCAGAGACCATGGCCCTGTGAAAATCAAACATTATGGCGATTCCCCAACTTAGGAGTGAGCTGTGCACCATATGCAGTAGTGTGAAAGGCAGAGTTCCTCTGTAAAGCCTTCCATCCCATGTCACTTGCACATCTTGCTTGTGAAAGGTTGCATTTAGGCCAGAGAGCCTGTGCTCTCTCCACCTGTCCAGCATACCTCTGAAATTTCCCTCTCAGTGGCAGAATGGGGTCCTGCTATGCACCCAGTGTGGACCTCATGTGTTTACTTGCTAACTCATTCACTCTCATACCATGCAGCTAGACTAGGGGTTGCTGTAGTGCAGGTTTGGTCCCAGTTGGTTTGGGAAATCAACCTCTGGAGTGGGAACCAGCTCATGACCCTCTCTCTTCTTAAGGACGTATTACCGACATTGGGTACCATGTTTCACGGCTGGCTGCAATGTTCCTTGCTCTAGTTTTGGGTTACCTATGACTACTGCTGCTTCTCTTTCTGGGTAGACCTTTTGTGGTGGCTTCATACCCCACTTGTGCTTTACTGACTAGTTCTTTCATACACCAGGAATCATCATGCACCCCTTTATAGTAACTTCAGACCAGGCTTAAGACAGTAGATGCCTTTCTACTGAACATTCTGCAACACAAAATCTCAGCTGGGCTGCCCAGACATACCCCAGCAAGGTGAAAGTCCATAACTGGTGTTTTCCAAGGCTTTGTGGATCTCTGGGGTCTCTGTGTCTTCCAATGGCCTGCTGGGCGCTGTCCCTTTCGAGCACCACAGCAATCACGGATCTTCCTGTGTGGGCTGAAGCTGTGGTACCCGACCTTCCCACTATTTATATCACAGGGTGGATAGGCTAGGTCCAAAAAGCCTGGGAACAGAGGTGCAGATCATTAACCCCTTCTATAGCCTGGGCCAGCCAACTACCAAACCTACTGTAGGCAACCTGCCTTCATACTAGAGGTTAAACGGGTGCTGCAACAACTCCTGACCAATCACAACATTCAAGAATGAGATATCACCAGCACACCAAAAGGATTGTGCCATAGCCAAAAACCTCTTTTTACTGCACGTCCACATAGTTAGAAAAAAACTTTTGGACCATTCAAGGGCCCTTTATTAGGTATGCTAGATGACTGGTCCCTTCAAAGTCCTGGAATGTTGTTTATCAATGTGATCATGCAATAAAGGGAACTTTTGAATTTGAAACAAGCTTGGCCATGTGCTTGTGATATATCTTACCTTAAAGTATTTTAGATTACCTTCATTAACTGTTCAGTGGTGGTTTAAAAAAATGCCTTACAAGCATATTTTGCTCAAAAATAAGAATTTGGTCTTCCACAACCATGAATGGAATTAATGGAAATGAAGTACAATCAGGGGCGGACTGCCAACTCATGGGGCCTCTGGGCAATAGGGGATCATGGGCCCCTTGTGTCTTTGCCCACACTCAAACCACACCAAAAAAGCCTATGAAAGGTACCAGGGGCATCTCATGAGGCACCCTACTGACCCTGGGCCCTCGGCAGTGCCCGAGTACCCCAATGATCAGTCCACCCCTAAATACAATATAATGTTTTATGTGTATTTATTACAGGAAAAGTTTCACAAATGATTGGACAAAAGACAAGGTGTGGTTTTTTTTTAGCTATTTAAAGTGTTACTAAGCCCAGGACCCTGAACTCACTATATCTTGTCTCCCACAGTACACTGAACATGAAAATGCAATTATTTTAGTAAATATAAACTTCTAAATACCGTTTCTTATCAGCAGTTAGACAAGTCGTGTGCCTTCTATCAGTGTCCAGCAGAGCACTGGTTAAAGCTTGTAGGAAGAGTTTTCTTTCTGCTCCAGAAGGATACAGAACCCCTGACCACTGTCTGGACAGTGCTGATTGGCCCTGGGCTGCTCACATGCACTCTCCCAAGAAAAAAAAATATCACTAGCAATACACACCAAACTGAGCATGTACAGAGTGACTCCAAATGATATGTTTTATCAGGAGATAGGAAAGGGACACTGGAAGAAGGGGAGGATCAGAGAAGTCAGGATCAAAGAACATTTTTACACAAGATAGACAATTAACCCCTCAAGATCCATAGTGAGTATAACACGCATGCTTTCTGCATATACAGACTGATTTTACTGTTGTGGGTTTAGTAACACTTTAATGCAGGAAGTGTTTGTTGAAATACAACAAATATGTTTGATGTATGTTTAAATATTTACTGTAATTAAAATGCAAATATTTCCCTGGATTTTATTTTGGAAGTGTTGGTAATGACGCTATACCATGTTATTTGTATACCTATCCTTTTTATGTGCAATGTATGTATTTTTGTGACCACTTTGATGTGTTTTATACTAGTATTGGTGTTACGCTCACGGAAATGATTTAATTGTTTTCTAGAGTACTTTGATTTTGAATAGTTTCTTTAACAAGTACTTCAGTTAAGGCCTGTTTGAACTTGAGCTTGTCAGATTTAGTCACAATGCTTCTTGTTAAACATGCCCACTAGGGTATGCCAGTAGAAGAGCAGCCTTCATCCAATAGGTGTAGGCGGGACTCCGTCTTTAGTATGAAGCGCTACTTCGTTTGCCCTAATTAAAGATGGCGCCGGTTCTCCGGTAGGAGTCTTAACCATGTGGTCTCGGAAGATGGCCAGTAGGTAAAATGGCAGACGTAGCTTCACGTACGTGCCGGATGCCAGCTGCGCCGTAACCTTTACCCTGTTGGCAAGGGGCGTGGAAATGGTCTACAGCACGCCGCCATATTGGCTGTTGTCCTGTCCAAAGCGTCCAGATCTGGGCTGTTGACTTTGGGGGGGATATTTTTGGTGTTGGGGTGAGTCGTGTGAGTCCCGGGGGGCCGTCTAGAAGAAGGAGACATGACCAGGAGGAGGAACAAGCAAGGCAGCACCCGAAGGGAACGTGCAGTGGGCCAGCAGAGGCCGGGGAAAGGCTCTCCTGCTTCTGATGGAACAGATACAGATGCCAGAGAGAGGCTGGAAGATGTGGGGAAAGGAGGACAGGTAATGTGCCACACCCCCTACATACCTTTCTTTGGCAGTGTATGTACCCCCCACTACTTGCAGGGTACACCCACAGAGGATACACACCCCCTCCTACATATCCTGCACCCCACATACTGTCTCCCTCATCTTCATACCTATCATTGTCAGTGTGTATACACCCCAATACCTGCTTGGTACAACCACAGAGGATACACACCCCTCCTACATATTCTGCACCCCACATACTGTCCCCCTCATCTCCATACCTATCATTGTCTGTGTATATACACCCCACTGCCTGCCAGGTGCATCCACAGAGGATACACACCCCCTCCTATATATCCTACACCCCACATACTGTCCCCCTCATCTCCATACCTATCATTGTCAGTGTATATACAGCCCAATACCTGTAGGGTACACCCACAGAGGATACACGCCCCCTCCTGTATATCCTGCACCCCACATACTGTCCCCCTCATCTCCATACCTATCATTGTCAGTGTATATACACCCCACTGCCTGCCAGGTGCATCCACAGAGGATACACGTCCCCTCCTACTTATCCTGCACCCCACATACTGTCCCCTCATCTCCATACTTATCATTGTCAATGTATATACAGCCCAATGCCTGCCAGGTACATCCAAAGAGGATATACACCCCCTTCTACATATCCTGCACCCCACATAGTATTCCGCTCATCTATATACCTATCATTGTCAAGGTTTATGCACCCCACTAACTGCAGGGTACATCCACAGGAGTTACACACCCATCCTACATATGCTGCACCCCACATAAAACCCTCTCACCTACGTACCTATTATTGTGAATGTATATACATCCCACTACCTGCCAGGATAATGCACACTACATCCTACATATCCCACACTGCACATAGTGCCCCTCTGGCCTACATACCTGTCAGTGTGTATACGCTCCACTACCTGCAAGGTACACCCACAGGGGATACACATCCCCTGCTACATACCCCGTACCCCACATACTACCTCTCTCGTCTACAATGCTATCGTTGTCAGTGTATATACACCCTACTACCTTCCAGGTACATACAGAGGAGTTACACACCCCCTCCTACATATCCTGCACACCACATACTACTCCTCTCACCTACATAGCTATCATTATCAGTGTATATACACCCCACTACCTGCCAGATACATCCACAGAGGATACACACCCCCTCCTACATATTCTGCACCCTGCATAGTTACTTCTCACTTACATTACCTATCTCTGTCTGTGTGTGCATCCAGAGGGGATTCACCCCTGTTGCTTACTTTGTAGTGCACATTGTACCCCTTTTACCTACAGTTGCAAGAAAAAGTATGTGAACCCCTTGGGATTACGTGGAGTTTTGGATGAATTGGGCATAAAATGTGCTCTGAACGTCATCTAAGTCACAACAATAGAAGAACACAGTCTGCTGAACATAATACTACACAAACATTAGATGCTGCCATGGTTTAATTGCACATAACATGTAAACATTCACAGTGCAGGGAGGAAAAAGTATGTGAGGCCCTAGCTTAATGACTTCTCCCAGAGCTAATTGGAGCCAGGAGTGAGCCAACCTTGACTCCAATCAGTGTGATGATATTGGATGTGTTGCTGACAGCTGTCCTGCCCTTAAAAAACACACACCTGTTTTGGGTTTACTGGTTTCAAGAAGCACTGTCTGATGTGAACCATGCCTCGCAGAAAAGAGCTCTCAGAAGACCTACGATCAAGAATTGTTGACTTGCATGAAGCTGGAAAGGGTTACAAAAGTATCTCCAAAAGCCTTGATGTTCATGTGTCCACGGTAAGACAGACTGTCTACAAATGGAGAAAGTTTTGTACTGTTGCTACTCTCCCTAGGCGTGGTCGTCCTGTAAAAATGACTGCAAGAGCACAGCGCAGAATGCTGCATGAGGTACAATCTACAATAAGGAAAACATTAAACAAGAATAGAGTACATGGGAGGACACCACGAGGAAGCCATTGCTGTCCAAAAAGAATATTGCAGCACGTTTGAAGTTTGCAAAAGAGCACCTGGATGTTCCACAGCACTACTGGCAAAATATACTATGGACAGATGAAACCAGGATTGAGTTGTTTGGGAAGAACACACAACACTATGTATGGAGAAAAAAAGGCACAGCACACCAACATCAAAACCTCATCCCCACTGTAAAACATGGCGGAGGGAGCATCATGGTTTGGGGCTGCTTTGCTGCCTCAGGGCCTGGACGGTTTGTTGTCATTGATGGGAAAATGAATTCCAGAGTTTATCAAGACATTTTGCAGGAAAACGTACGACCATCAGTCCGCCAACTGAAGCTCCGCAGAGGATGGGTGATGCAACAGGACAATAACCCAAAGCATACAAGTAATTCAACAAAACAATGGCTGCAACAGCACAGAATACGCCTTCTGGAGTGGCCCAGTCAGAGTCCTGACCTCAACCCGATTGAAATGCTGTGGCATGACCTTAAGAGAGCAATTCACACCAGACATCCCAAGAATATTGCTACACTGAAACAGTTTTGTGAAGAGGAGTGGTCCAAAAATTACTCCAGATCGTTGTGCAGGTCTGATCTGCAACTACAGGAAACGTTTGGTTGAGGTTATTGCTGCCAAAGGAGGGTCAACCAGTTATTAAGTCCAAAGGTTCACATACTTTTTCCTCTCTGCACTGTGAATGTTTACATGTTATGTGCAATTAAACCATTGCAACATCTATGTTTTTGTGTAGTATTACGTTCAGCAGACTGTGTTCTTCTATTGTTGTGACTTAGATAACGTTCAGAGCACATTTTATGCCCAATTCATGCAAAACTCCACGTAATCCCAAGGGGTTCACATACTTTTTCTTGCAACTGTATATACTCATGATACCCTGTACTCTTCACAGCATACCATAACCCTCTTACTGTATGCACCACCTTGTGACTAATATACCCTTGGTGTGCGCAGATCCAGTGACAACAACATTAACATGCATCCACACCACACACAGCTACCTGAACTCCAAGGACATTTTTTTTTTTTGTTTTTAGTTTTAGTGATGTTTGAGCACTAGTCCCTGATCTGTAGTTTAGTTTCTGATAAAGTGTTATGGTCCAGAAGACTTGAATACATCAACAGTAATTACCAGTTAGACATTATCATTTTTTTCATATAAAGTGAAGGCCTTTTTAGGAGACCATGCAGTGACAAGCATTTTAACCTTCTTAAAATGTGTTGATATATGAGAATGTGTGTCATGTTTGGTGGTTTCCTCTTGGTTCACTTTTCCTCTAGACATCCCCAAAAGGAATTTGTGGAGGCCAATTCTCACTTACCATTTATGTCTCTTTCAGCATTGGGCGTAATGTGAATTGTGTGTCTGGGGCTCACTGTGCAAATGAGCAAATCAATGGTATTTCCCGCTACTGCGCTTAGTGTGCATATAGTGCCCTTAACAAAGAATTGCTTTAAAACTGGTTTTTGCAGAATATGTAAAGTGTAACTACACTGCATCCAAGCACCACAAACAAAAAATGCTATTTAAAGTGGTTCTAAAGGCTCAAGGTTTTTTTTACCTTTGTGCATTCTATGCATGAAGGTAAAAAAAAAACCTTCTGCGTGTAGCTGCTTGCTATGGGGGCACCTGAGAGGAGTGAGGGGCCAGTACCCGCCAGTAGGGGACCTGAGAAGAGGAGGATCTGGGCTGCTCTATGCAAAAACCACTGCACATAGCAGGTAAGTATGTCATGTTTGTAGTATCACTTTAATTCATTTTATAGTATTCACAGTAAAAATTAATTTATATATCCATGCTTTATTTTGCTGAGAAATCACTTTGAAAAACACCCCCTAGTATTTCTGGCCATTTTGCATAAGAGCAGATGATTCATGTAGCATTTACTTCCTGGAATCCATCTGCCCTTAGCTCAGACATGTAGGCAGGAGAGGATGTGCTTAGCTGAGAAAACCCCTCCTGAACATTCCTGGGATGTATGACTTTATTTGCCTAGGCCTGGAAACTAGGAAGTAACTAAAGAAATATAAAAAAAAAAAAGTATAAAACAAGTAAGTATGACATTCAAAGCTGCACAGTGTTTTTTTTTTTTTTTTTTTTTTTAAACAGACACCCCTTATCTGCATAGGCAGTTTTTTGGTAAAGTGAACTAACTTGTTGAAGGCCTGTACCTCTGTATAGGCTTTCTGTTAGAGAAAGTGTCAATGAACTATAAAGGTGCTCATCAGCACCCTAGCAGTCCATTGAGAACTACAAGCTGTCTGCCGCAGTGGCAGATGGGTCTTCCAATTCCTTTTCATTCACACTGTGAGTGGATGACGAGGCTGCACGGGCAGAGCCCCATACAGCTGCTCTATTTTTTAAAATGTGACAGCGGGTGCGCAGAGAGGATCTTCCATCCACTGTCACAGTAGAAGGTGTGAGAGGGAGGATGAGCTGGAAGGTCATTTTCATTATTTTTACTTCTGATGAAGACTGCAAGTGCCTGTTTTTAAGATCCATTACACAGATATGGTTCATTGTTGTCACCTTCCAGAAACTCACCCTGAGAAATGTTATGCGGCCCTTTCTGGAGTGGATGTATGTAAGCTGGTTGCAAAGAGGCTGCAGGAAATTGGCAGCAAAGAGATGCAAGCAGTATATTTATTATATAAAAAAAATATTATATAACAGCACTTTAGCAAACAAAGTTTAATTCACAGTTTACAACTACTTCAACCACTTGAGTTCCCAGCACCGTTGGCACAAACTGTGGATCACCAATTGTCCACGACAATTGACATCCAGCGCTAAGCCCAGTAGCTGAAACAATCAGCTCCTGATGTTCCAATGTAGTTAAAGATTGCTCCATATAAGAACACTTTAAAAGTGAATGTAAATACATTTTGGTTGACTTTATCAAAATTGGAGCAGATGTGCATGGCAGCTTCTGTCTTCATCTTGTTTAAAGAGTTACTAAACCCACAACAGTAAAATCAGTCTGTATATG